TATTAATCTTTGTCAGTTCATAAAAATACAGCTGTTCGTGTTAGTTCACCGTGACTAATGTTAACAAATACAACTTTTAATTTTAATAATGTATTAGTAAATGTTGAAATTAACATTCAATTATATTTATAAATGCTGCAGAAGTTTTGTTCATTCTTAATTAATTAGTCAACAAATGAAACCATATTGTAAAGTGTAACCAAAAGAAAATGCATTAATGTTAATAACTTACAAAACCATTTAATGTTAATGAAGACAGTAATGATGTAGATGCTTGGAGTGAGCAGCCCTGTTACACACAACACAATATATATTCAGCAAACATTCAATGCAATTTCCACCAATCCAACACAGACTCCAGTTGATCTGGCTGTGTGTGTTACACCTGAGTGTGTGTGTGTTACTATAAACTCATTAAATACTCCTTAAAGTCGGCTTGAATTTGGTTGTGGCCGAATATGAACCCCAACATGCAAAAATTTGCAGTCCTGAATGTTCAGTGTTCATATTATCAGATTTTTTATTGTTAAAAACCTCATAGTATTTTACCCCATTTATGGTAATGCTTGAAAATGTGGTATCTATACCAGATATAATCCTGTTATAGTCGTCATCCCTAAATGTTAACTCAGTGGTTATGATTGTAATGACACTCGGACGAATCTTGTGTTGAACATGAACCATTTGATAAGTTATTACTTTTTTTTACTGTATTCCTCCTCGAACACTGAATAAAACTCTTTTTAAGTTATTGTATGTAAATGCATTTATTCAGTTATCAATATTAGGAAAAAAAACACTCTTGAAAATTCCCAAAAAATAATTTATTTCCATATAAATAACAGCAGATGTTCCACGTAATAAATTAGACAATAAATACAAAGGCTCCATAGCTTGACTGCAGACTATGTGTTACTGTGATAGTTTATGATGCTGATCGCTGGAACTGTTATGCAGAAACTGTTATGCGTCTTCGATATTAACCAAATTCCCAAGTCTAGACTGAAAAAAACCTACAGAATTATATATATAAAAAAGAAAATTATTGATATATTGTAAAAAGCTAACAAAAAAAAAACTGCGTCATCTAAATCGCCAACACCTTATAAAACAATAATCTCCATGAATTTCATATCAAATAAATAGTAAAAGATTGTGCTTCAGCAAGACAGAGAGAGATATTAACCTCTCGTCTTCAAGTGCAGTTTAGCTGCCAAACTCCGAAGAGCTGCTTTTGTGTGTTAAACGTGACCTCTGACCTGTGTGTGACCCAGAGCCTTTTCATGAGGAGAGGGGAGTTAGGATTAAGGGCCCATGCAATTTTAGGCCCTCAGAGATCGATATTAGGCATGTTTCCACCGAAATTACCAAAACAATTTGTCTCAGGAACTTTTTGTTACCTCAGACCTGTTGCCGTGAAGTACCGTGAAGATTAGGCCATTAGTCTTACTAGTGACGCGCCTTTACAGTGATTTCATCCTCTTAATTTAAGTTTAATAAAGCCTGAAGGTCGTCGTCGGTTCAAAGGTCGTATTATTTAAACTCCACTGTTGATTCGAATAGCAGCAAACAACTGTTATTGCACGCACCGCGACAGATAACAACGCTGCGTGGAGTCAACCAATCAAAATGCGGCATTAACTCGACAGACCAATCAGCATGTTCAGCGCTCAAGTCCCACCCGTTAGAGTTCTTTTTTTAAATGTAGTATTACTCTATCGGCGGCGCGCCTACTGGCTCAGTCCGCAGTGTGCGAGTCTAGATGTTGGCGTCCAGCATCTCCAGGAAGAGTTTGTGCATGGGCACGCGTCCCTGCGCGTGTATCCGGCTGAAGCAGCGCGCGGCCCGGTGTGCGGTCTGTCGGAGCAGCGGCAGCGTCATGAGGAGTCTCCCGGCCCGGTGCGGCTCTGCCGGTCTCTGCGCGCTCTCGTACTCCTGAAGGGCCTCGTGGAGCCCGTCCTGGAAGCACTGAACTGCGTCTGCGCACTCCACATTCTCTGCGTCTGGAAGAAAACCATCGGCAAGGTCATTTACCACATCCGATTGAGTGTTAAATGCTCTATTGTGTTTGCCTAAAACTGTGCCGACTCCTATTGTTGATGTTTAATGGACTAACGCTAGAGCACAATAGTTTTCCCAGTCACTCGCATCTATTTGGAAAACCATCGGCAAGGTCATATACGACATCCGATTGAGTGTTAAAGTCAAGTTACATTTATTTATAACGCGTTTTTTTCCAATAGATATTGTTTTAAAGCAGCTTTACAGAGATAACAGGGAAATAATGCAACAAAGTTTGTTTCTAGAATAATAGCGCCACAGTCCACCTACCAGAAACACCACAGGAGTAGTTCACGTTTAAAAAAACTTTTGCTGATAATTTACTCACCCCCATGTCATCCAAGATGTCCTTATCTTTCTTTCTAAAGTCGAAAAGAAATTAAGGTTTTTGATGAAAACATTCCAGGATTTTTCTCCTTATAATAGACTTCAATGGGAACCAAACGGTTCAAGGTCCAAAAGACGGTTTCAGTGCAAACTGTTCAAAGGGCTTTAAACAATTCCAGACGATGAATAAGGGTCTTATGAAGTAAAACAATCGCTCATTTAATAAATAAATAACAAAGTTTAAGTTTTATAAGCTCAAATGCTCGCCTTGCTCTGTTCTGTGATGAGCGTTTGTGACTCTCCTGTTCGAACTCGTTCATCAAAATCAACAAATCTTTTTCCGAGTCAATTCGTTCGTTTCGTTCGTTGAATAAACCAAATGACTCGGAAAAAGATTCATTCATTTTGATAAACGAGTTCAAACAGGAGAGTCACGAATGCGCATCACAGAACAGAGCAAGGCGAGCATTTGTGCTTATAAAACGTAAACTTTGTTATTTATTTATTAAATGAACGATCGTTTCGCTTGATTAAACCCTTATTCATCGTCTGGAATCGTTTAAAGCCCTTTGAACAGTTTGCACTGAAACTGTCTTTTGGACCTTGAACCGTTTGGTTCCCATTGAAGTCCATTATATGGAAAAATAACCTGGAATGTTTTCATCAAAAACCTTAATTTCTTTTCGACTGAAGAAAGAAAGACATGGACATCTTGGATGGCATGGGGGCGAGTAAATTATCAGCAAAAGTTTTTTTTTTAAGTGAACTACTCCTTTATGTAAGTTCAGTGATGATTCATTTTTGTTGCATAAAGTTATGAATTTAGTTCATTTATGTGTATGTAGCCACTCTGGAGAAAACCGTGATGTCATCGTCCAGCTCAGTTCAGTTCTCATATAATGGTGTTAATGCGGGCAGATCAATAATATTGTTGAATGTTAAAATAAATGTCCCCAACTAAGCAAGCCAAAGGCAACAGTGGCAAGGAACCAAAACTCAATCAGTGACAGAATGGAGAAAAACGAACGGCTCCTCTGGTCAACTAACAGAGTATTATGATTATGATTATGATTATGATTCAGGCAGCATTACAGGTCAGAGGAATATTTCCAGTTCAGAATATTTTCCAGTTCCATCTGGCTGAAGGTCGGAGAACGGAGACGAGTTTGTTGAGGATCAGTGCCGATGGCTGACACGCTGTTGTTTGCTTAAAACTGCGGCGACTCCTATTGTTGATGCTTAATGGACTAGAGCACATCTATTTGGTGTACGCTCTTCAGATCTTTCTGTGTCGAGAGCAAAAACAATAGTTTTCCCAGTGTTGTCTGACTGGAATCTGCCCTGTGGTCAGATGCAAGCTGGGAGACACGGCTAATGGTTTATTGATCTGTGCTCTGGACTGCTAGATCCCTATTGATTGTTTTTGAGTCTGAGACTGAAAATGGGAACTATATGAAGTAGAATGAATTGTTATCATGCAAACCAGATATAGAGAGTTTAAGAAATCCCTGGATGCCTCTTAAGCGTTATCAATACAACCATAAACGCATTTAAACCACTCTATTATTTAAAAAATGTTCGTACAGTGAAACTTCTGACATGCTGAATTTATATAATCATATACCCTATAAACGTATAACCTTTCCATCTAAAAGACTTTGCTTCAGTGCTTGAAATGGTTTTGTAAAATAATGTTATATTATAACTATTATAATATGTATAATAATATAAATATACTGTAATAGTATAATATTTTTTCTGTAATTTTAGATATAATTATACAATTAGATCATTAGCATTGTATAATAAAATACAATTATAATAATGCATTTCTATTAATATATATATATATATGAAGAGTTCAGATGCAAAAGCCTCTAAATGCCATTTGAAATTTTCTTCTTTAATGATGATTTTTATCCAACTTGTATATTTAAGTTCAGTAATTTCACTTAAATAACAATTAATAGGTAATTATCATTGTCATTTAAGTGAAATCACAGAACTTAAATATACAAGTTTGATAAAAATCATCCTTAAAGAAGAAAATTTCAAATGGCATTTAGAGGCTTTTGCATCTGAACTCTTCATATATATATATATAAATAAATTTATTATTTTTTTACAATTATTATTTATTATTTACAATTATATTATTTACAATTATTTAGCATATTAGGATTATTTAATCCAAAAATAGCCTTTACATTGGAGCGTCTGTTGAAGTGTAGAGTTATTGGTCATATGTATACCTGAGTTGGCCAGAGCCATGGCTTTGAGCGTGAGCATCTCCTCCTGGCTCAGGCTCATCTGCTGGTATCTGACGGCCAGGTGTCGGAGAGCCGTGTAGAGGTCCGGCAGTCCCACGGCTCGGCTCTGGCTCTCGCTCAGGCGCAGGTTCTCCGCAAACTGAAGCTCGTCGGGCGAGGCCTGAGATCTCCACACCACGTTCAGGACCAGCGTCTCCATCCAGCCGCTCTGGAGCAAAGCCATCTGATCCACCAGAGACAGCCCAGAGAATCCTGACGCAGAGAGATGTGTTTAAAGGGATATATCAGGGCTGGCAAAGACAATTCAAGCACTACTTTCTTGGTTTTGAAGGACTACAATCAGAGATCTCACTTGTTAAATGATATCTTATCTATATCTTATATCTTGTCAGCTGTCAAATGATAAATTGATATCTTTCAAATTCTAAAAAAGGCAAATGGATCACTAAAAATGAACAAAATAGTACACATAAAGTGCAGCAGATGAAAAAAGATATCGCTTTCTTATTCAAACTTATTTTTTCTCCTCATGAATATATGATTGACCTGAAGAGTGAAAGCTGAATCATATGCTTGGATATTTCGATTACGCTCATGGCCATGCGAAACGGCTCTAACAATATCAGACGGGCTGGAGCATTTATTTTGATTTTCATTTTATCAATACAATTAAGATACATTTTCACTTATATTTTCTTTTTTTAATAATAAATACCTTTTAATAAATATGAATGTTTTCAAGGGTTTTCCAGGACTTAAATTTCAAAAAGTCAAATAAAAAATAGTCCTGTAAAAAAAGGGTAAACTACCGGCAGCTGTGGTTGCCAGCATCATACCGTAACTATACAGTGTGTATTTAGCTGTTAATTTCAAAAACAGTAACACACCGTATTTTTACAGTATAATGCTGGCAACCACAGCTGCTTAACGTTTTTTTTACCGGATTATTTTTTACAGTGTAATGCCCTTTTCACAGGATGTAAAATACATTTCTGATATCCCATGAGTGTGTATGTGAATTTTTACCTCAAAATACCCCACAGATATTTTATAAAGCATGTTAAAGTTGTCACTTTTTGAGAGTTAGCAAAAACGCACTGTTTTGTGACTGGCCCTTTAAATGCAAATGAGCTGCTACTCCCGCCAAAATGGGCGGAGCTTCAAGAGCTCGTTTGTGTTGTTAGCAGCTGCGATTACCTCACGCAGACACACACTAAAATGTCAGAAACTGCTCTGCCTTTTATATTTAAACCGGAGTCAGTCAAAGATGGAGAGACTCAAGAAGAAGTGACAACATCTCTGAATGGTTAGTTGATGAATTTATGTTGCTGATGTGGAGTTAACTATCTTAAATTAGCATATTCTTGTCATGTAATCTATACATAGCTGTTGTGAGACGCACACAGAGTGACTTTCGATTGCATGTGAAAAGATGGATGCTAAAGTTTGAGCTGACTCACAAATGTACTCTTATTAGACAACAATGTTGTGTAGTTTTACCAGCTGTTTGTTGTAGTCCTCAAAAAACGATTTCTTTAAAAGCAAATATCTCCCTTTGTTTTGAACTTGGAGCGTTGTAACTTTGATAATGTTGTTTACGCTCAAACAGCAACATTACACACTAACTAAAGTCAGAAAAGTGAATCATAATTAACCACCCCTTGTATGAACCCTGATATATTGAGCACAGAAACATCTAAATGTGTACCTGGGATGTGTTTTGCCCAGCCAATCATAACCAGGAGCTCCCTGTTTAAAAGGTCACATAAGGTCATCAGTGTTTTAAGGTCACTGTCAGGGGTCGTGGGGTCAGGAGTGGCTCGCAGAGGAGCCGGTTCACACACCAGCAGCTGAGAGATCACCTTGTTTCCTGGATAGGAAAAGATGATGCTTTATTGATGAAGTTAAACCCTTAATCAGGTTAAATCCTCAACCACACATAATCCAATGACGACACAGTGTCTAATACTCAGAGTTATGCTCAGTCCCTCGCTGTTTTTGTTCATATTAAAGATCTACAAGTGGTTAGCAAAGGCTATTGTAATGAATGTTGTGTGGTGAGACTCACGGATTGGTTTGCTTGGATGTGTGTAAGGTGTTTTGGTGAAGAGAGAGAGTGCTGAGTCGGCTCTGCGCTTGTACTTCTGCCGGCCTCCTCTGACGCGGTCCATGCGCACACCTGGGCAGGTACGGGGAAATCAACTCCTTATTTCAAGTAAATCAATAGTTTCTTCTTGTTTACTATTCTTGTCAAGACATCTTTACTAAAACATAAAATCAAACATTTACAAACAAAACCGTCACTTCTTGGGAAATTGGCACACAAAAAAAATCTGCAACAAAAATGAAAGTTGCTGCGATCGGGGAAGAAACTGCATGATATCTCGATAAAGCTGTCTTGATGTCTAGCGTGTTTGGGAACACACTTCTGGAGGGAATCAAACCAAATCATTCTGATCACAGACTTTGACCGAGGAGTTTCAAAACAACCAAACCAACATTTGAGATGCTGCCATGCCATTGGTCCTCTGGTTCGATCAGTTATCCAATCACAGCCTCCGCTGAGGCAAAGTTATGGGAGTTTTTGTTGCGCATCGACGGATTTATTCAGTGAATGTGTTTATGTGCCTCAATTGAGTGCATGTGTTTTTTATGCGCATTTTCAGAATTTATGCATCCAGAGTTTATTTATGCGACATCCCAAAATGCGAATATAAATCGGTGGATGGAAACACAAATCTGAGAGTGAAAATCTAATTTAAATCTGGAAAAAAAAATGCGTATATGCAAAACAAAGAAACCTATGGAAGCTTGTTTCTGTAGGTTTCTAATGGATAAAAAGAAAAAAAAATATTCTAAAAATAAAAATTCTGACTTTATATCTCGCAATTCTGACTTTATATCTCGTATTCTAAAAATAAAAAAAATGCGAATTTTAATCTCACAATTGCAAGATATGAAGTCAGAATTGTGAGAAAAAAAGTCGCAATTGTGAGAAAAAAAGACAATCACAATTCTGACTTTTTTTCTCACAATTGGGAGATCACATCTTGCAATTCTGACTTTATAACACATAATTGCGAGTTTATCTCGAAATTCTGACATCTTTTCTCAGAATTGTGAGATATAAACTCGCAATTGCGAGTTATCAGGCCAATTCTAAGGAATAGTTTATATCAATCAATTCTGACTTTATAACACGCAATTCTCTGACTTTATATCTCGTAATTCTGACTTTATATCTCGCAATTCTGACTTAATATCTCACAATTCTGACTTTATATCACAATTCTGACTTTATATCAATCAATTTTGACTTATATCAATCAATTCTGACTTTATATCAATCAATTCTGACTTTATATCTCGCAATTCTGACTTTATATCAATCAATTCTGACTTTATATCTCGCAATTCTGAATTTATGTCACAATTCTGACTTTATATCTCGCAATTCTGACTTTATATCTCGCAATTCAGACTATATATCGCAATTCTGACTTTATATCTCGCAATCTCGCAATTCTTACTTTATATCTCGCAATTCTGACTTTATATCTTGCAATTTTGACTTTATATCTCGCAATTTTGACTTTATATCTCGCAATTTTGACTTTATATCTCGCAATTCTGACTTTATATCTCGCAAACTCGCTATTCTGACTTTATATCTTGCAATTTTGACTTTATATCTCACAATTCTTACTTTATATCTCGCAATTCTGACTTTATATCTCGCAAACTCGCAATTCTGACTTTATATCTCGCAATTTTGACTTTATATCTCGCAATCTCACAATTCTTACTTTATATCTCACAATTCTTACTTTATATCTCGCAATTTTGACTTTATATCTCGCAATCTCACAATTCTTACTTTATATCTCACAATTCTTACTTTATATCTCGCAATTTTGACTTTATATCTCGTAATCTCACAATTCTTACTTTATGTCTCGCAATTCTGACTTTATATCTCGCAATTCTGACTTTATAACACGCAATTCTGACTTTATATCTCAGAATTGCGAGATATAAAGTCAGAATTGCGAGATGTAAACTCGCAATTGTGAGAAAAAAAGTCAGAATTACCTTTTTTATTTTTCATTCTGTGACGGAAAGAAGCTTCCATAGAAACTTTATTACATAAAATGAATAATAAATATTTAAGATTGTGTTCAATTTCAATATAAGCAATGACATTTTATTTATTAACAACTAGGAAATAACAATGCAAGTAACTTATTAAATCTTAGTTAACTTCAACATTTATTTATTAATCAAATCCAAAGTTGCATCTGTTAATATTATTTAATGGACCGGAGCTAACATGAACAAACAATCAACAGCTGTCTTTAATTTACCAACGTGAATAATTAATAAATACAGTAACAAATGTAGATAATGGAGGCTTAACGTAAAATGTACGATAGATGCTAATATTTTTAGAAATATTGCATAACAAAATGAGCTTTTCCGCTAGTGTGGAATACAGTTTATGTGCACTGGTTATTTGCACTCATGCACAGCAAACCTCTCAAGCTAAAATAGAAGTCATAGCATTGTTGAAATGTAAAAGTGTGATGTTAGAGAGGAACTGACCCTCTCTCATCATGCCGGCACGCAGGCACTTCTGGAAACGACAGGCTTGGCAAGACTTCCTCCGTCTCTTGGTGATCTCGCAGTCGTTCACCACAGGACAACTGTACTCGATGTTTCCTGAAACACCAACAGACCCAACTCTAGTTATATCCCGCGTAGTGCTTTACACATTTACTTTTAAATGTCACACCATAGGACACATTTACAGTACTGTCGAGTGAAAAACGTTAACAAAACATGTGAAGTCATGGACAAAATGAGTGAAACTGCAGTTTTCATACTTAATAAATATATGTATTTTTTCTTAAAAAGTTATAGTACTTTTTCTTGGCCACATGCTCTGAATACTTCTACAATCTACACGTCGTTTGTGGATTATTAATAAAAAGCAGAACGTCATGAGAGTGAGATGCTATTTATTTGTTTAATCAAACATGAAGTCCATTTGTTCCCCGCTTCACAAGCTGAGCTTTCACACAGAAATCCATAGACAGAGTCCAGACAGAGTTCAAATATTGATTTAGCACTGCCTCATAATTTAATAATCATATAGCAAGAAGTAGAAAGTTTGTGTTTTCCCAGAGGCGAGTGTATTGACGACTGTTCGACACACATTAATGCCCAAGCAAATCCTGGAACTTTCCACAGTTAAGTATGATCAATAGATGTGTGTAAAACACTGACAAGACTCTGTGTGAGTCGAGCATCCATTATGTGATTGAACTCTTTATCAATATATTGATATGTTAACACACACACACATACACACCACTTACACTTGTACTCTGTCTGCCCAAGGCCAAAGCCAATACAAATCATCCATCTGTCAGAAACATAATTGTATAATGGGCAAAAGTTTGGAAACATTCGTATTTTTAATGTTTTTGAAAGAAGTCTCTGCTCATCAAGCCTGCATTTATTGGATCAAAAATACACAAAAAACAGTAATATTATTTTAAATGCACTGTAAAAATGAATACGCTTTATCTAATAAATAAAATTGTGGCAACAGATTACAAGCAATATTATTAATTAAATTCCTTTAAAATTAACCATTTAAAATGATTAAAGTTTGCACCCAAAAATGGAAAAAAAAAATATCTGAATAACAGGCAGACGTCAAAGATTAATTAAGAACATTGAACACGCCTGATGTTAACAAGCAGAATTACTGAAGGAGAAAACCGTCATTTTAAAACAAACACCGATCACCATAATGGTGACTTAAATGTATGTTTTTGTTTGTTTGTTGTTGTAAGTTTTACTCATTTTAAATGGTTAACTTTTAATTCGATTAATTATTACTCAACTCTAATTTGTTAAATTTAATTAATAATATTGCTTTTAATCTGTTGCCACATTTTTTTTTTGGATTAGATAATGCGTATTTGTTTTTACAGTGAAGTTATTACAATTTAAAATATTGGTTTTCTAATTGAATATAGTTTTTAAATACAATTTCCTCATCATTACTCCAGTCTTCAGTGTCACATGATCCTTCAGATATCACTCTAATATGATGAATCATTATCAATGTTGGAAACAGTTGCTTAATATATATTTTTTATAACCTGTGATACTTTTTTCTGGATTGTTTGATCAATAAAAAGGTAAAAAGAACAGCATTTATTTAAATTAGAAATCCTTTGTAACAGCATACACTAATGTTCAAAACTTTGGGATCAGTATTTTTTTTTCTTTCTTTTATGAGAGAAATTAATACTTTTATTCAGCAAGGATGTGATATATATATATATATATATATATATATATATATATATATATATATATATGAAGAGTTCAGATGCAAAAGCCTCTAAGTGCCATTTGAAATTTTCTTCTATAATGATCATTTTTATCAAGTATATTTAAGTTCAGTAATTTCACTTAAATTGCAATGAGGATTAAGTGAAATTACTGAACTTGAATATACAAGCTTGATAAAAATGATCATTTTAGAAGAAAATTTCCAATGGCACTTTCCAATGGCTTTTGCATCTGAACTCTTCATATATATATATATATATATATATATATATATATATATATATATTTCATACATAAATTTTCAAAAGATGTATAGATAATATCCTTGCGATTATTCTATTTATAAAAAATATTTTTTATCATTAACTTTTTTAAATATTTTATAAATAATATATAAAATAATTGGCAACAGTTCTATCTTTCAGTACCTCAATTACTTTGTATTATTTGGTTACACTTTATTTCAAGGTGTCTATGTTACAGTGTAATTATGCATTAAAGTACTGAGTAATAATAATTAGCTGTTAGTATGCATAAATTATAGTTATTACTACAGTAACTACAAGTAACAAAATTGTAAAATAAAGTGAACCTTATTTAAAACCACCAAAATAACCCAAAGCATGTCAAATGTATTGAGCTGGGCTTCTGAGGTGCTTTGATTAAAACAGCACACACTGAGTCTTCACACACCAATCAATGTCAGACAGATAGTTAGCTCGTGTAATATTGATCATTGCATGCATTCATTAACAGCATAAGCCCCTCTCTCACACACTCCAACACTCATTTTCATTATTAAGTTACTAATTAGCATTATGCATTGTCATATACTGTATGTTCATACTGTAATCACAACATTTTTTTCTTTTGTCAAATCAACTTACATAATTTATGTAGTTCATATAACATAATATTTTGAGTTTCTGATGATTAAATTAATCTCCTTCATTGTATTAACTCAATTTTTACATTTCAATGAACTTTACATTTCAATTTTTTAGGCATCCCGGTTACTTCATTTTTTTAAAGTTAAACCAACAATATTTGTTTTGTGAATATAGTAACACTTTATTTTACAGTGTCATTGTTACATATGTTGCATGTAGTTACTATAACTATATATTATGCATAATTGCATTCAACTAACCCTGATCCAAACCATAACCCTATAAGTAGATAGTTAATTATTATTACTTAAAGGAGTTGTTCACTTTTAAAAAAAAAATTTTGCTGATAATTTACTCACCCCCATGTCATCCAAGATGTCCATGTCTTTCTTTCTTCAGTCGAAAAGAAATTAAGGTTTTTGATGAAAACATTCCAGGATTTTCTCCATATAATGGACTTCAATGGGGTCCAAACGGTCCAAAGACAAAAGACTCGTTTATCAAAATGAACGAATCTTTTTTCATGTCATTTGGTTCATTCAACGAACGAAATGAACGAGTTGACTCGGGAAAAGATTCGTTCATTTTGATGAACGAGTTCAAACAGGAGAGTCACGAAGGCGATCACAGAACAGTTTTTTTTGTTTGTTTGTTTGTTTAAATGAGCGATCGTTTCGCTTGATAAGACCCTTATTCATCGTCTGGAGTCGTTTAAAGTCCTTTGAACAGTTTGCACTGAAACTGTCTTTTGGACCTTGAACCGTTTGGTTCCCATTGAAGTCCATTATAAGGAGAAAATCCTGGAACGTTTTCATCAAAAACCTTAATTTCTTTTCGACTGAAGAAAGAAAGACATGGACATCTTGGATGACATGGGGGTGAGTAAATTATCAGCAAAAGCTTTTTTTTAAAGTGAACTGCTCCTTTAATGTGTAATTACAGTGTAACAACGACGCCTTAAATGAAGTGGGTTACACTTAAAAAGTAATGAGGGTTAGTTGCATGTAATTTAGTGTCATTACTATGGTAAATATGTAACAAGTGTACCCACTTTTTGTGTTTTTGTGGGTGCAGTGCTTACCTTGAATGGTTCTTTTGAAGAAGGCCTTGCACGCCTCGCAGGACGCGACGCCGTAGTGGTACCCGGACGCGAAGTCTCCGCACACCAGACACAGGCGCTTGGGCCCGGGGTTCAGCGAGGGGATGAAGTCGCTGAGGAGAGACTCTGTGTGTCCCGTCGGGTGGAAGAGCGCCGGGGCGCTGGTGCTGGAGATGGAGCTGGAGCTCACGGGCGAGTCCGGGTTCAGAGACGGGTTTCGGGAGAACACGCTGTAGCCGCTGCTGTCCGACGCGCTCCCGGGGCTGACCAGGCCGAACGACGGGCTCAGCGGGTCGGCTTTGAGCGCCGCGTCGGTCGGGGACGGCGGGTCATCCGAGGTGGACGGATCCAGAAGGCTGATGAGGATTGAAACGGTTAGTTTGTCACTACATTTACACTGAACTAAGAGCTTTAAAAAATAAATAATTACTTTATCTAATCAAAAAAAAAATTGTGGCAACAGATTACAAGCAATATTATTAAATAAATTTAACAAATTAGAATTGAGTGATAATTAATCAAATTAATTCCTTAAAATTTAAGCATTTAAAATGAGTAAAACTTACAACAACAACCCAAAAAACATCAATTGAAGTCACCATTATGGTGATCGGTGTTTGTTTTCTCCTTCAGTGATTCTGCTTGTTAACGTCAGGTGTCTTCAATGTTGGCAATATAAAATAAAGATAATATATAATAATTAATCTCTGACATCTGTCTGTTAGTGAGTTATTTTTGTTAAATTTTTTGGTGTAAACTTGACTCATTTTAAATGGTTAAGTTTTAAGGAATAATTATTACTCAATTCTAATTTGTTAAATTTAATTAATTTGCCACAATTCTATTGATTAGATAGAGCATATTTATTTTTACAGTGTACTATATTAATAACGGTGACACTTTATTTTGAGGTGTCATTGTTGCAGTGTAATTATTTATTTAAGCAACTACATGTAGTTAGGGTTGCATGTAAGTATGCATAATTTACTGTTATTGCTATGGTAAGTACATGTAACAAGGACACTAAAATAAAGTGTTACCATAATAACTATAAATTATGCATATGCAACTAACCATAACCCTATAGTAAATAGTAAATACACTCACTTTATTAATACTACTCAGTATTGTGTAATCTGAATATTAATAATTAACTACATGTACTCATTATAGAGTTAGGATTAGGGTGTAATTATGCATCTTTTGTAGTTATCACTACATGTGATGTTACAAGGAGACTGTAAAATAGTTTTGCAATAAAAAGTGGAACCAAAATATTTTGATTAGTATGACACACTTTAAAAATGAATGTTGTGCCACTTTTATATATATAGCTAGCAAAACTAAATGATGCCAAAACATGCATAAAGAATACATAAATTCTAATCAAAATCATTATAAATTAATTATTGCACAGCTAACGAACATTATCATGCCAGTGAAGATACATTTCACAGGAAAGAATTGTCATAAGTTGTAATGACATGTAAACCACAAACATCTCAGCCCATTAAAACATTCAAATCAAAGAATTGCAAAAAATCGAATTATGCTGAATTTATGGTGTCAGATATAAGCATTATTACTGTTTCAAAGATACTAATGAAGCGTTTTCTAGTTGGGTTCGGGTCAGTAATGATGGTCCTCCACTTACTCGTGCTGGTTCAGGAACTGGAAGTTCTCGCTCAGGCAAAAGTCCTTCAGGTCCATCACTACTTTCCCCAGGGGTTGTGCGTCTGCAAGCGATCTGAACGGGACGAGACTGAGAGAGACTGAACAGGACCTCAGGGGGAGCGGGTTTATTTAAGGGATGCTCGGGCTGGGAGGAGTCAGCCTGTCTAATCCAGATGCATGTGATTAAAACCCTATTGATGGATTCTCATAACTGACAGGTCAAATCCTCGAAAACGACAAGCAGGCCAACTGCGAATCACTCGACCAAGGCGAAACAACACATTTGCTGGATCCCTTCTAACGGAGAGCTATTTAGATACAATCATGAAGCAGTGATTGCTCATTTTCATCATTTTTAGGCTACTGAAGTTTTCAGATACTCAGTGTTGTGTGTAAATACATATAAAGACATTCCTTCTCTGCAGTTGACTGCAAACACCAACAAACCACTCCCGCAACATCAAGTCTGCTTCATTTCCTTGTTTCCACTGTTGACCCTCAAAACAGCCGCTAATTTGAGCTCTCGGACTGGAATTACAGGATCTCGGAGGGGGTTCGGCCAATCACACGCCGAGAATATTTCAGCTACTACAATAAGACCTTTACGTTGAATTATTGGTAACAATTCATTTTGCAGTTACACATTACTGTAGTAATACGTATAAATGATGCGTCATTACATGCAACTAAACCCGGTGACACTTTATTTTACAGTATCATTGTTGCACGTTACTGTAGTTTTATTAACTAAATTATGCATAATAACATGCAACTAAACCTGGTGACACTTTGTTTTACAGTATCATTGTTACACGTTACTGTAGTTTTATTAACCATAATTACATGCAACTAATCCTAACTCTAACTCTGTAATTATTATTACTTTAATGCATAATTACATGTTAACACGGACACCTTAAAATAAAGTATAACCACAATATTTTACATGGTAAAGTTGTAAATGTTTTGAGGAAGAGAAATAATTAACATAATGCATTAGCCCACATATGAAATGAATATTTTTATAGCATTTATTAATCTTTTTTTAATGTTAGCTAATAGAAATACAGCTACTTTTTTGCTCATGTTAGTTCACAGTGCATTAAAATATGGACACCTTAAAATAAAGTATAACCACAATATTTTACATGGTAAAGTTGTAAATGTTTTGAGGAAGAGAAATAATTAACATAATGCATTAGCCCACATATGAAATGAATATTTTTATAGCATTTATTAATCTTTTTTTAATGTTAGCTAATAGAAATACAGCTACTTTTTTGCTCATGTTAGTTCACAGTGCATTAAGAAATGTTCAGGGTTATTATCGTTAACTAAACATATAAAAAAAAATGTCTAACGCTGAAGTAAAGTAAAATATAAATATTGAAAAACTTTGAAAACTTTGAAATTTTTTACCGAAAAAAAAAGACTAAAACTACCTTAAATTGAATTAAAGCGAAACAGCAATCTTAAATAATAATAATAAAACAATAATAAAATGCACAAAATAATGTTTAAAAAAATGCTATTTCAACAGAGGAATAAAACTAAAATATCACTGCTAATGTTGATTTTAAAAGTCTATTATAAAATGAATATTAGTAGGCTATCTGTAGAAGGATTGTGCATTTATTTTACAGTATCATTGTTGCACGTTACTGTAGTTTTATTAACTATAAATTATGCATAATTATATGCAACTAACCCTAAAATATAACCCCAATTCTAACTCTGTAATTATTATTACTTAATTGCATAATTACATGTTAACACGGACACCTTAAACAATATTGCACTAAAGAGTGTTTTGAGCAGGAGAAACAATTAACATAATGCATTTTCCCACATGGACTAACAATATGCAATGAATATTTTTATAGCATTTATTAATCTTTTTTTAATGTTAGCTAATAGAAATACAGCTACTTTTTTGCTCATGTTAGTTCACAGTGCATTAAGAAATGTTCAGGGTTATTATCGTTAACTAAACATATTAAAAACATGTCTAACGCTGAAGTAAAATAAAATATAAATATCAGTTGAAAAACTTAGAAAAGCACTGAAATTTTTAATAAAAAAAAAAAGACTAAAACTACAACTGAAATTAAAGCTAAACAGAAATAATAATTTTAATAATGATAATAAAACAATAATAAAATGCACATAAAATAATGTCTAAAAAAAGGAATAAAACTAAAATATCTCTGCTAATATTGATTTTAAAAATGTATTATTAAATATTAAAATGAACATTAGTAGGCTACTGTAGAAATATTGTGCATTATTAGTAACTAATTTCAGCAAATAAAACATTATTGTAAAGTGCATTCTGGTCAGAGTCGATCAATCTATCAGTGTTAAATCTACACGACCGCACGTACTCGGTCCAGTGTGAGATTTCTCCGTGTGTGTGTGTGTGTGTGTGTGTGTTTGAGTGCAGCTGTGGGATGTTCAGTCAGTAGGTCAGGATTTGTGGCGATTACTGATGCTGTAAAAGTGCTGAGCTTCAGTGTTCAGCTGCACACACACACACACACACGCACACACACTTCACAGTGAGTGACTGTTATTACTGTCTCTGTGATGCAATAGACTCGTGTCACTGCATTATACTACATTCAAATGATATTATCAGCACAGTTTCAGTGACAAGTTGAAATATTGAACTTCAGACGTTTGTTTATAAATTTGATTTAGTAACGTAGTATCTGAAATGTTTCTCATAATGTAATCGTCACAGAAAAAAGATGCAGTCTTAATCTATTCATTAAAAATTCAAATAAATAAAAAACATAAACACTAGGATTAATTGGGGGAAAAACTCCCAATTTGTCTACAATATGATGAAAATGTGTTAGCAACATGCTAATTTATCCTAGCATTGTGTAATAACATGTTAGAAATGTGCTAACAACATGCTAATTTGTGCTAGCAATGTGTTACAACAAGCTAATTTATGGTAGCAATAAGGTAAAACATGTTGGCAACATGTTAAAACGTGTTATAATGCTATCAAAATGCTAATTGAAATGGGCTAGCAACATGTTATTATAAGGCTAGCAATATTTTAAAACATGCTAGCAAAATGTAAAATAATGTTAACAATAAATTAAAACGTAGAAATGCTTAAACATTCTAGAAATGCAACAGAAAACATGCTAATGCTAAAAATACAAGTTAAAATATAAACAAAATAATATTAATACACTGAAATGTGCTAGCAACATGCTATTATAAGGCTAGCAATGTTAAAACATGCAAGCAAAATGTTAAATAATGTTAACAATGAATTAAAACATGTAGAAAATTGCTAAAACATTCTAGAAATGCTAAGAATGAAATAAAAAAATGCTAATGCTAAAAATACGTTAAAATATTCTATACAACATATAAATAATATTAATACAATGACCACTGTCCTGGGCAACAATGTAGTATAACTGATCATGCGCTCATGTGGGAAACCTGATTTATAATATTTGTATAGTTAATGAAAATTTCATCAAAAAAAAAAAAAAAAAAAAGGCTTTGGTCAGTAGGCTAGTACTATACTCAGTACTTAAATGTATATTTACAACACAGACACCTTATAAAGTGTAACCTAAACTTTTTATGTATGTAATAGTTGCCAAGTTGACATTTCTCATTATAATTTAGTTTAACGTTACGTACTACAATAACTTAACTGAACTAAAATCAATAAAAACCACATAGAAATTAAAATCTAATTAAGACTAATTTAAAAAGATACAATTATCTTGAAAATATTAATATAAACTATAACAGTATATGCATGGCTCTTATTTTATTTGTCTGCAGTCAATATTTTCCCTTCCATGTTATTTATTATTATTTACATATTTATTATTATTTATTAAATAGCATGAAATAGGTTAATATACAATCAGATGGTCGTTATCAGAGAATAAACACGACCTGAACAGCTGCACATTATGCATTATTACAGCATCTTATGTCCTTTCAACAACAACATAGGACCGTGATCTGTGGGCTACTCATATCTGTTTGCTGAGGAGGATTAGAGCTCTTCCTAGAAATATTCAGGTGTGTGATGCAGTGAGATGTTGACCCTGTTTCACAGTGTTACAGAACACTGACCCATTTCTGCCCGGTGCAAGCCTGGTGTCCATCTCAGGTGAGAGGATTAGCGTCTAGGCCGGCGAGTGACACCTGTCCCGGTCCCCACAGGCCTTAATCCAGGGAAAGCCTCCTCAGCAACTATTGGAGGAGACCATTCGCTTGGGCAAACATCTAGTGCGAGTGTTCACACACACACACGCCATAATCGCTTTCCATAGCCCATCATGCAAATGTACGAGATCAATGACGCAGCGCTTCTGTCTCCAAACATCTATAGTGCGAGTGTTTTCACACACACACACACACACACACAGGAACTATGATGTGGCACTTCTGACTCCACAGTTGATGAAGCGTGGCAGTGTGTGTGACATCAGGCTGTGTGTTCTTCTCCTGCAGTCTCATGTTGAGAGAGGCTGGCTAATCTCACTAAACCATCATTCTTACACACTCCAACGCAGGCGCGTACTGAAACTCACCTCGGGTCAATAAACACAGAAACCCAACAGAAATGACAGAACCCAGAAACGAAAACAATAAATTAATGATAATGTGATATATTTATGATAAAACATATAATGTACAATAATATATCATACAACGTTCAAAAGTTTGCTATAACTTTTTTGAAGGAAATTTCTTCTGCTCACCAAGGCTGTATTTAATTTGATTCCACACTGACCAAATGTGGGCTGGATATGCTAGCAATGCGCTAAACATGTTAGAAACAAGCTAAATTGTTAGGATCATGCTAGCAGTGTGCTAAACATGTTAGAAACATGCTAAAATGTAAGGGCCATGCTAGCAGTGTGCTAAACATGTTAGAAACATGCTAAAATGTTAGCATGCTAGCAGTGCGTTAAACAAGCTAAAAAAAAGATGCAAAAATTTTAGGATCATGCTTGCAATGTGCTAAACATGTTAGAAAAATGCTAAAATGTAAGGATCATGCTAGCAGTGCATTAAACAAGCTAAAAAAGATG